ACCCTCATGCTAACATTGTTAGTATCGTTTTACTGTGATGTTTTCAACACTTTCCTCCGACTGGTACTAGTACAGGGTCAATTAATAACCTCGTGCTAACATTGTTAGTATCGTTTTACTGTGATGTTTTCAACACTTTCCTCCGACTGGTACTAGTACAGGGCCAATTAATAACCTCGTGCTAACATTGTTAGTATCGTTTTATTGTGATGTTTTCAACACTTTCCTCCGACTGGTACTAGTACAGGGCCAATTAATAACCTCGTGCTAACATTGTAAGTATCGTTTTATTGTGATGTTTCAACACATTCCTCCGACTGGTACTAGTACAAGGCCAATTAATAACCTCGTGCTAACATTGTTAGTAACGTTTTATTGTGATGTTTCAACACATTGTTCTTGATAGTATCAGTTTTGAGTCAGTGAAGTACAAACCTTCACAAAATATTGAACTGTAAAACGACCAGAAATACTCTCCAGTCCGCTTCCTTATCATCGGCTTCGACCTGTACTTTGGGTCGGTAATAGCGTCAATGAATAGAGACAAAGCAATCATCACCAACATGGCTATTACCAGGACAAACCACACCTACAGAAGAAAACATCAATGATCAAACTATTAAAGTGAAATTCGACAAACACGGCGCTTCCGAACTTTATCGATAATCAAGGCTTAATCTTAGGCTAAAAAAAACTAACGAATTTTCAGCAAGTTAAACGTGCTGCTCTCTCTCGGTAAACATGTAATTCAAATCAACTGATTTAACACCTTCAATGGACCTAACATCTAGATATTTTACTATCCGATCTGACCACCGTGATCACCCTCAATTAACATGCCCATAATATTGTTGCGTCAGCGAGGTCACGTGACTAGTGTGACGCCACGTTTCTAGAACTATCTTGTTCCTTCATGAATGCCCTAGCATTTACTAGATAGGGTAGTCTGGTATATATATAAGAGGGTGACAACGTGACGCAATAATGTGTGTGTAGACAGTGAGTAATTGATCTGCAGTCAGAGAGTATTATTGAGCACGTTCGTTGTTATAGCGTTTGTTTTAGCGCGATTGTTGAAATTAAGTGTATGGTAAAGTTATATTCGGAAAGAATAAACCAGTTTTATTAAGTAAGGACTTGTGTCGCTAAAGTTTCGTCGGAACGAAGTTACGGAAAGTTAATTAACAAACGGAGACGTAACAATATTTTAACAGCCGATATTTCCGTCACGATCGCCCGCCATTAAACACATGTAATAAAGTACAATTCATGTCAGAAAATTAATATATAAGTATTTTATCATTTATATAATTTTCACTGTTCAACACACTTACAAAGCAGAGGAAGGGTCTAGAAATTACTTCAGTTATATTCCACTGACTCTTGCAGTTAGCCTAACTCTTAGACTAATCCCAATCTCGTTATCGCGAGATAAAACGAGATAGCGTCATAAGTTTGAATACTAGTAGGTAGTGTTCTTTCTATTCGTATATTTGGCTTATTTTGAAAGCTTGTTAAGTGGTCCTGATGTCGTTATCATTTGCCGTTTTTAACATATTAAGACTTATTTTTGGATCCTGACATGTTTTCAAAACTAAACTAATAAATTTATTTCGATAAAGTTTCGTATACTGATAGAATATAAGCTTGAGAGGTAAAAAAAAAACGAAATACTCAATGGCGAGAAAAAAAAACGGAAACTCGTGTAACTACCATTTGTGCTATTATCGTTATTACAGAAACATTCATAACTAAAAAAAATTTACATTCAAGGTTTAGTGTTAGTAGTTTTCTGTCAGTGTAGCACGGGATTTTAAGAAATTACAGAACAATTATAGAGGGCGTTTCGAGGAAGATTTGTTTGTTGTTAAAAGCAAAGCTACACAATGGTTATCTGTACTCTGCCCACCACGGGTATCAAAAACCGATTTCTAGGGGTACAAATCCACAGGCTGTGCCACTAGGGGACTTCAAAGAAAAGTTTGTTTATTGGATTTTGCGCAAATTCACACGAACCATTCATAAATTTGAAGTGATAGACTAGAGGGAAGGCAGCTAGTCAACATCATACAAGTACAACTCTTAGGCTGCTCTTGTCAGACTAACCAGTAAAATTTGAACGTACGGATAGTGTTTTGACGGGAACGGGACGCGAAATATGGAACCTTAGATCCAAAGTCCGACACATTATACACTTAACTCTACCCCCTTTCAGAATAACTAACCATAAAAGTGAATGAATATTACCATTTGGCGAGTGGCGACGATATACGTTTAATATTTTTTTACGTTTAACGAACGTTTACGTAAAACATATGGTTCCCTCCTCGAAGTGGTCCTAGTCGTTTTGCAATATGTTATAAGAAAACACTTCCATTCGGCTCTAATAATGAAGTAAATATATGGATTATGTACGTCTTTGAATGGCAACAGCGGTGGTAGTGAAGATTAGGCTGACGGGGTAGAAACTACGTGTAATTAGAAAACTGACAGTCAATGCCGAAGCTTTATTGATTGTTCTCCTTAAATTGCTTTCTGTTGTAGGAAACGGGTGAATAATTTATCACTACACAATCTTTTAGCGAAAGTTATAACGCAACGGAAATTTTAAGTCTAAAGACGACGTCGAAAAATTAGTTTTACCAAAACCTTTTCTTTACACGCAATCTGATTGGAGGGTTATTTTTGCATCATAGTTTATTGCAAGTGCAGCATTTTACTTTGGGGGGGGGGGACATGTTACATTTACTTGTCTTTTTTTCGCAGAAATTTTTTTTTTATATGTCAAAAATAAATTATTGTTTGTTCTTAAGCTATCCGTGATGTTTCAACCGCGGATATCAAACCCAGATTTTTAGTGTTATAAGCCCTAAGACTTTCCGCTCAGACACTGGGTGGGTGGGGCAGTAATAATAATATAAATTTCAAGAGGCAAAGCATTTGTTAACATTATGAGCAAAGGAACAACCAAGTTTTGACAATTTTATCGGCCCAACATTGCAAATTAAGTCTTGAGATAAACAAATATATTTTATTTCATTTTTTTTTAAACACGTTAAATATTTTTACTTATCATATTACAGTACGTAAAAAGCTCCCTTACCTGCCAGTCAAAGGTTAAAATGTAGCCGAAAACGTTCGTAGTCTTTCTTTTCATTCTGCCCGCCATGACCGCTAGGTAGCCAGTGGCAAGATTTGAGGTGAACGTAGCCACTTTTGACCGGGCATACGTGGTAGCAAAAGGCCCAAGGGCAAGATCTGCTTCCTAAAAACACCGGAACAAATACGCTGACCTTTATATCCAAAACTTTATAAGTTTGTTTTGTTTACTAATACCATTTTTAAGACATTAAAACAAAACCAAAGCTTGTATCGATCTTACCTAAGATTCGACAAACACCTCAGCTAACCGATATTCCTACGTATTTAGCCGTTTTCAGCATGAGCATCGCCTTATACGACACATGGGCTTCACGAACAGGTCCGAGACCCTAGGTTCAGTCATAGCTGTACCTAATTTATAACTGTTGATCAAAAACCTACTGCTTACAGGGATACTCTTAATCAAATAGAGAGAATAATTCTGATTTTACAAAGCGACCTCTGTTGAAATCGCAAGTTGTTTTCATTGACATATCGTAGGTACGAACGTTGGACCTTATTTTCAGCAGCCCAGTACGCTAACCTAGGCCCGAGATTCGTGGACTTGAATTCATCAGAGCAAGCCCTTTTCTCGATATTAACAGACAGAGACACCTATACAAACATAAGTAGCGTGCATTGAGATATTTTCCTTTTAAGTGGTATGTCCAAATTGTTCACATTCTATTGTTTTTCACTCTTCTCGCTAAATAAGTTTTTTTTCTTACATTCCGCTAAGATAGAAAGATAAACTCACATTATTGTGAAGCATTCCAATCATTCCACTCCACGTTCCGTCTGGGTACTCCATCCCCCAGTGTTTGTCTTCAGGCATGTAAATCTCATATCTCGAGTAAGACGTAGATCAACAACAACAAATTAAAAGACAGTTTCAGAAGAAAATAAATACATATAATAAACAGGGAGAAGCAAAACTTACTATACAGTTGGTAATATACGATTGGTCCTAAACAAAATATTATAAAGACGACTGGGACCTATTTAATTATTGTTTCTTTCTAAATCAAAAACTGTATAGTCAGTTTTACCCCCCTCTATAAACTGTTCAAAAACTGTATAGTCAGTTTTACCCTCCCCTCTATAAACAAACAGTTTCAAGGAAATAACTTGTGAGCGAAAGTTAAATCTAAGATATGTTAAACAACCAGAATAGTTGTATATTTAAAGATATTACAACGTGTATACACAACCACGAAACACGTATTATAACGTGTATACACAAGGACTGAAACACAACCACTGTACATCTATTATAATGTGTATATACAAGGAACGAAACACAACCACGATACATGTATCACAACGTGTATATACAAGGATCGAAACACAAACACGATACATGTATTATAACGTGTATACACAAGGACTGAAACACAACCACTGTAACACGTATTATAACGTGTATACACAAGGACCGAAACACAACCACGAAACATGTATTACAACGTGTATATAGAAGGACCGAAACACAACCACGATATATGTATTATAACGTGTATACACAAGGACCAAAACACAACCACGATACATATCTGTGTTTACACAACGAACAATATACGGCCCTTAATTAATACAATAATACTTGTATATCTAAATGTTAAGACAACCGTAACATGATGTATGTCTAAGGGCAATAATACAAATATAATACTTGTGTATATAAGTATCATAACACAACCACAATAAGAACGCTATTACAACCATAATGTCTGTGGCTCTTCTGAGTTCTACAATGTCTCTACCCTTAAACAACGTACCTGAAATTCATCAGTTTCGACAAATTTTCCATGACGTTAGCCATTGGTCCAGATAATTTTGTTCCATTAACTGATTGGTCGATACTTACCCAGGGTTTCCACTAGAAAAAAAACAAGTAGTTGAATTATTCTCTCTAAACGGCTAAATGTGTTTTTTGTTTTACTATTCGTTTTATTTGTTTAGTACAGAGACAGCTCAGTGGTAAGCTCGCAGGCTTAAAGTATTAGAATTCTGAGTTCGACCCCTGAGATGAGCATAGTCCAGGTAGTTTTTGTGCAGCTTTGTGCTTAATCACAAAGAAGCCCTAGTTTTAAAATTTGCAAAAAATTTCCTCAGATTTTCATTTTATCATTAATAACAATCTTCAGATTTTCATTATAGCGTTAATAACTATCTTCAGATTTTCATTATAGCGTTAATAACCATCTTCAGATATTCATTTTATCATTAATAACAATCTTCAGATTTTCATTATAGCGTTAATAACCATCTTCAGAGTTTCATTTTATCATTAATGACAATCTTCAGATTTTCATTATAGCGTTAATAACCATCTTCAGATTTCATTATAACGTTAATAACTATATTCAGAGTTTCATTTTATCATTAATAACAATCTTCAGATTTTCATTTTATCATTAATAACTATCTTCAGATTTTCATTTTATCATTAATAACTATCTTCAAATTTTCATTTTATCATTAATAACAATCTTCAGATTTTCATTATAGCGTTAATAACCATCTTCAGATTTCATTTTATCATTAATAACTATTTTCATAATTTCATTATATTATTAATAATTATCTTCATACTTTCATTATAAATCAGAAGCTAAGCCTAGAGAATTTTAAACTCATCAGCACCGCAGCCAGAATTATTTAGCATGCCAATCTTATCTTTTAAATATACGTACAGATGTTTTAACAAACAGAGTGGGCCATAGTGAACCCTCCACTAAAGGAACACCAAACTACAAGTAATACATTAAAACTTTCTCTATTTGTATCATCATTAAAAATGTTCAAAGTTCTCACGCTTGATCACCTAAATATCCCCACATGACAACAACAAAAAGTCGCATGAAATACAATAGTATTAGTATTCTTAGTATCTTTATCGGAAGGAAGGGGTCGCTGTGGTCCATCCTGTACTTCACCAGTTTGGCAGCAGCTCTCAAAATAGTTGTAAAATTTATAAACACCATTTCATAATAACCTTTTATTTTCTATGAAAACTATTTCATAATCAAAATATCATTAAAATTTATCTAGAAACTTCTTTTATTAGATAACAAGATAAATTCTCGCTTATCATGTTTTTTTTTTGTTTATTTATGCTGTCAAACATTGTAATAAAAGATTTCTAGAAAATGCGATAGCAACAGTACTGAAGTCAAAACATACTGATAAACTTACTAAAGCCAATACATTCAGTTAACTATATTTTGTGATTTATTGGGTTTGTTGGCTGATATTGGTGAAAGATACCAAAAACCCAAGGCTGACACGTGCGAACGTGAACCTGAAACTACTACTGTCAACACAGTAAGCGATACAGTAACTAAAACTCGGAAAGATACGATATAAAAGGCATGTAAAAGAAACCTTCATTCAAACAAGTCATAAAAACATATCGTGTTTTTATTTGGTATTATCCGTTAGTTTGCTTTAATGATCTACCCGGTAAGTTTCTTTTTGGGGGAAGAAAATAAAATTGCATGGTGACCCAACAAATAGTCAGCATTCCGGGCTATGTATCAAAAGGTCCAAAGTTCGAGTCCGCGATATGCCGCTGAACAAGCTCCGTCTTTGCATCTGTGTTTGTTTGTTTGTAATCAAGCACAAAGCTACACAATGGGCTATCTGTGCTCTGCCCACCACGGGTATCGAAACCCGGATTCTAGCGTTGTAAGTCCGCAGACATACCGCTGTGTCACTGGGGGGCTTGCATCTGTGAACGTGTTATTAAAGTGACTACCAACCCTACTATTCGGTTAAGGTCAGCGGTATAGACGGTGTGAAATATTGATTGGTTGCAATCTTTCTGGTCACCTAAAATCAGTGGTGGGGTGGTTGTGTTTGTCTGTCTCTGACCTGCCTGTTTAGCCAATCTGTTGCATATAAGAGCTGTTGGACATATTGAATCACTACCTACATATATAAATCAATAGTTTACATACTAACATACTCATTTATTGTAAACAGGCGATCAAGTCAGCACTATAAAACAATAATGAAACTAAATCAAAAATGGTCATAATGAGAAATCAAGATTTATTTTTCTACTACCAGTTATGAGTTAATGATGACAACAAGGACTGGTAATGTAAAAATAATTTTTGATTTTTAGGTCTCACTATGATTGGTTTGTTTGTTTGTAGTTAAGCACAAAGCTATACAATTGGTTTGTAGGGTTTTAAGTCCGCAGACATACTGATGTGCACTGGAGGGCGTCTCACTATGAATATTTTTTATTTGTACTTCAGCAGGTTCCCCGAAAGTGTTCTGTTTCAAGAGCAAATAAGACCATAATTAAATATTTTTACTTCTTGCTTTTGAAGTTCCTATGTCATGCTGTATTGTAGCCGACAGAGTGCATAATTGTTCTTGTGGTTCATGGCATCCGCACGTTTTCCCGACGTCACAACAGTACAAATTGCAACGTTAAGCGTCCCTTATGTGACGTCATTTTAGTGTCTACTGTTTAACTGATTAACAGACAGCACACTATTGTATAATGGTACTAGAGGTTAAAACAGGTGACCCGTTCAGGCGGTCTTCGGCCCCCTTTCGGAGAAAATAAAGTGAATGAACGATTTGAATTCCTAAAAGGTTCACCAATAACAAACTTTAATACAGGTGTTGAAATAAGCATGATAAGATATAAGCTGATACAATAACTGTTGGATATCTCGGGCTAACATACCACAAGATATTCAAGAAGAAATTATACTTCAACAAAATAATAAAACCGAAAAAGAGAACACAATTCAAGTCTGACAAACCCATAACAGCTCTAAAAATATCTATCAAAAAAATTTATTAAGGTCGACTTTGTTGTAATACGTTTTAGTTACTGTCCCTCTGCTACCCCCTCCCTAGTGGTTCAGCGGTAAGTCTAATAGATTGTAACGATAAAACCGGGCTTCGATAACCGTAGTGAGCAGTATAGATAACCCTTCGTGTAGCTTTATGCTACAAACAAACAAACAATACCTTCCCTCTAGTGTATCATTTCAAAACTATAGACAGCTAGCACAGACAGCCCTCGAATAACTTTTCGCAAAAAACTAACGTTGTTTTTATTAATACATTCAATATGTACTGCTTTTTCATTCGATAATTAACGAGACAGATTATGTCAGAGTTAGGACTAATTTACATAATTATATAAATATTTTATGATGAAATGTTTAGAACTTACAGTATGTGTGTGTGTGCGTTTTCTTACAGCAAAGTCCCCCGGTAGGACAGCAGTAAGCTTTCAGATTTACAATGCTAAAATCAGGGGTTCTAGTCCCTTCGATGGATACAGCAGGTGTGTTTTCTCATATTTGGTAAACTGTTTATTTTAGACAGTCAGTTTAACAACTGGTTTTCTGCTCTATATCCAGCGCGGGGAATCGAGACCCTGATTTCAGCACTGTAAATCCGCTATCCAATCGGGGGACTAGAACTTAGAGATATGTTTATATATATATATTAGCCTTAGACAAAAATACCAATTTCTAGGTTTGAACCAGGATAAAGAATCAAATGTAGAAAGCAACGTCACGTGGTAAATAGCAAGGAAAATAAACATAGGGCTGATCAGTATTCAGGTTGTTAAGTATAGAAAACTAGCATAAACAAGAGTTAGAATTAACGTAGATGTTTGGGAAACACGAGGATTTGTTAGATACATTGTAATGAAGTTACACATCGTGCCAATAATTATAGAGGATGTAATGACTTCTACTAAGTAATAGTCCCTCAGTGGGTCAGCGGTAAGTTTAGACTTACAAAGCTAAAATTCGGGGCTCGATTCCCCGCGCTGGACATAGAGCAAAAAATCAGTTGTTCAGCTGAGCGCCAAAATAACAAACAATTTACCAAATAATATATCATTTTTGATAAATAAAATTAGAAATAAAATCTACGTTTTACTCAAAACTGAGGAGGAAAGTAAACATCGATTTTCTACATAAAGAAAATATCTGCTAATGATTAAATATTTAAAGAATCTTCTACTATAAACCATCAGACATTTATATGTTAATTTACTCGTGATACGTAGCTTCAAGTATGACTTTATACTTAAAAAAACTACTGATCAATCACGATTTGTTTGGTAAATTAGATGTTAAGTGCAGTAACGGAACATGTCAAGTGTTTTAAACGTGAATCTGTCACTACTGTATCAACCTACACCAGTAAGTATTGAAAGAATCTGTTTCTACTGTATCAACCTACACCAGTAAGTATTGAAAGAATCTGTTTCTACTGTATCAACCTACACCATAAGTATTGAAAGAATCTATTACTACTGGATTAACCTACACCAGTAAGTATTGAAATAATCTGTTACTACTGGATTAACCTACACCAGTAAGTATTGAAAGAATCTGTTACTCCTGGATTAACCTACACCAGTAAGTATTGAAAGAATCTGTTTCTACTGGATTAACCTACACCAGTAAGTATTGAAAGAATCTGTTACTACTGGATTAACCTACACCAGTAAGTATTGAAAGAATCTGTTTCTACTGGATTAACCTACACCAGTAAGTATTGAAAGAATCTGTTACTACTGGATTAACCTACACCAGTAAGTATTGAAAGAATCTGTTTCTACTGGATTAACCTACACCAGTAAGTACTGAAAGAATCTGTTTCTACTGAGTTAAGTTACACCAGTAAGTATTGAAAGAATCTGTTTCTACTGAGTTAAGTTACACTTTCTGAATAGAAAGCGCCCCCCCCCCCCCAGTGGCACAGCGGTATGTCTGCGGACTTACAACGCTAGAATCCGGGTTTCGATACCCGTGGTGGGCAGAGCACAGGTAGCCCATTGTGTAGCTTTGTGCTTAATTACAAAAAAAGAAACTGAGCAGGAAGCAATGAACGAATAAGGTTTAGTTAAATAAATCATTGATATAATATAAAGGAAAGTACATAATGCAACTTTATTGACACAACTTAAATACACAATCATAAAGGAAAACAAATTGTTTAAAGGAAAACGTGGTTGAGTTATGCGATGATCATATTTAAAATACCGATGTTTGTTCGATAATAACGAGTAAAGCTTTCATAAATTAATTCAAAGATAAAACATACACTTGGTGCAAAATATAAGCTTCGTTTACACATGACATAAAACATAAAGATTGCGATCCATAAAGTTGTACTTATATACAAACATTGTGTATTATATATGCCTATTTTGTGTTACTTACATTTAAAGCACATATTCGTAGAAAAAGCTTCGAAGATACATTTCCAAACATTTTCCGTATCTATGAGAAACAAAAAAAATCAATAGCTCTTTATCTTTCAAGGTGCGATATCTCAACTAGTCTTAGTAGATAAAACACAATATCGTTTATCATCAATAGATTATGTCTTTACTGAAAGGATATAAACTGATATTAAAAGGTAGGTTCATAGAAGAAGTATGTAAAAAAATAATAAACATTTATATACGAATTCAAAGAAAATTATCGAGATTTTTCAGAGAACTATAAAAACGTTTTGGTCACGAGTTAAACACGTGAATGTGTAATAACTTTTTTCGGGATGCTTGGTTCTCTCTCGTTCCAATAAAGCTGAAATTGCAACATAATATATCACTTTCGCAATCATTTTAATAACGAGGATTTAGCTCTTTAAACCTAACTTACAAAAACTATCTCACAAATGATTATAAAACTAACAGCAAATTTTTCAAAACGTTATTAAACACGTATCTACTTTTCTAAATCACCGAAATTCTTATATTTTGGTTTCTTTATTTTTTTTATCCTTCGTGGTTTCTGTCAACATATAGAGCAGAGGCGTCTTCTTGGTGTCTGTATGTCTGTTCTTTAATACCATACTTGAAGAACGATCTCAACCAAATTTGGCAAGCACGATAGAGCCACCAGGTAAAAAAAAAACATAGAGGGCTATTCCTTAGGATCCGACCCCTTTGTAAAATCCCTGGGCAACATTATGTAACATCCCCAGAGGTACCCTATGTAACATCCCCGGTGTACCTTAAGTATTCACCATACTACTCTATTGATCTCTACCAATTTTTAAATACACTCTTAAGTCACCGAATATGACCCCTTCCCCATGTCACTCCCTGGGAGCCCCTGTCTGCCTCTGTGTCCGTCTTTCACACCTTTGACCAATTTCAACCAAACTTGGCATGGCCCTTCGGGCTACCCATGGAGTGGTATAGGAATCGATGTTCGTATCTAGCTATTCTCTACTGTTGATCTCTAACAAAATTAAGATACATCGTCAGGACACCCCGAAGAGAAACACACGGTCGAGACTTCGAACAGCCCCACCTATCATCGTTGCACGCTCAATGGGTACGTCAGTCAACTGATCATTAATAAAACAGCTACAAATGTTCTCTTAAAGTGTGAATAAATGTCATTAGCTGGTGCCCACCCACCCCCCGGTGATACAACAGTAAGCTTGAGAGCTTATAATGCTTAAATTGGAGGTTCGATACCTGGGGTGAGCACAGCATAAATAGCCAGTTGTGCAGCTTTGCGCTTAACGAAAAACCAACAAACAATTATGTGGTTGTACTTACAAAATTTTAAAGTTTGTTGGACACTTATTATATTTGGCCTTCCAAACCACGTGGCTTCAGGCGTGGCCTAGTTCTTAATGTGCCGAACTGTGGATTGAAGGATCCAAGGTTCGGGACGTGATGCCAGTGAACACACACTGTGGTTGCGTTATGAAATGTGACTTTCACTCCCATAATTCGACTTACAGAGTAGGATAAATCCCTTGTGGCCATGGGTGCTGCTAGCTGGTTGCCTTCCAATAGACAATAGTATAATATTAAGGAGGACTCTACCTACAAAGACCTCTGTCCTGGCAGTTTAGCCCACGTGCACATAAAATGCCGTTGAGATTGTAATTTCCAAATCCAAACCCAATGAAAACATCTTGGGAAATGTTTTGTATATATAATTTTTCATACTTTCAGGAACAAGAATATGAAGTTCTATCAAATCTGAGTTGGCGTTAAAAATTGTACATCTTAATTAACATTTGCTGCTTTGATTCTTTTCTATTAGGATTTCCCTGAGTAAAAAAATTCCCTTGAATAGCAAGTAAACTCAGCTGAAGATTGGAAGATTTGTTTATAGTAAAACGTTTATATTAGAGGTTGCTTTTAAAGCATCTCTTGCTTCATGAAGATGGAGTTTGAGAAATAAGCTCACTAGGCAATTAATAAATTTTAAGGCAAGTGTTCTCAAACTGAAGGCGTCGTGAAGAATTTAAGAAGATACATCAAACCTCTATGAAGATTTATATATGGGTTTATATATAAATGTCTGTGTAACTAGTAATTAAAGCCTCTTTTCAACCATATTCCTGTCTAGTTGCGCTACAAGGAACCATTCCCTATTTTTAACCTTACTTCTGTCTGGTTGTGCTACAAGGAGGCATTTCCACTTTTCAATCTTACTTCTGTCTGGTTGTGCTACAAGGAGGCATTTCCTCTTTTAAATCTTACTTCTGTCTGGTTGTAAGACAACGAAGTATTTCTCTTTTCAATCTTACTTCTGTCCGGTTGTGCTACAAGGAAGCATTTCCCCTTTTCAGTCTTACTTCTATGTGGTTGTAAAACATCGAAGCATTTCCCCTTTTCAATCTTACTTCTATCTAGTTGTAAAACAACGAATCATTTCCCCTTTTCAATCTTACATGGTGCTACAATGAGGCATTTCCTGTTTTCAACTTTACTTCTGTCTGGTCGAACTACAATGGAAACATTTCATTTTTTTTTTAATGTTCCGCAGGTTTTGTTGATTAGGTTTGTTTGTTTTTTATTATTATGAAATAGTTTAAAAATCAGCTGTATTATAATGCTATGGAGTTTTCAAAATGGTGTTATTCTCTTCACATTTTTACTTTCCTAATAACTTTGGATTATTGAGTTGTTTATCCGTGAAAAATGGGATCTAGATAACATTGTTTGTTTGCTTTGAATTTCGCGCAGAGCGACGCGAGGGATATCTGCGCTAGCCGTCTCTAATGTAGCAATGAAAGATTAGAGGGAATGCAGCTAGCTCATCACCACCCACCGCCAACTCTTGGGCTACTCTTTTACCAACGAACAGTG